GACTTAAATGATTTTAGCATATGGCTGCAATATAACAAAGAGTGAAAAATTTAAGGGGGTCTGAATACTTTCCGTACCCACTGTGTGTATATATATATATAAACATCTACAGTACCTGAAGGATGAGGATGAGGACCTTGTGTCTCCACCCAGCACCAAGGGAAACCAGTGGCTGAAGTTCTTGCAGGAAAGCAAGGACCTCAAGGGTGAGCTATGATCCTTACTGAGGACGTGCAGAAAAAGTAGTGATGAGAAACAGACATAACTAACTGGTAGAATGTTTGAATGTTTGTTTTAGAGAGCCCTTTGCTGTTTCCTTCTTATCCACAAAAGTCTTTGCACTTTGTCAAGAGGATTATGGAGAGTGTGATTGAGCAGTGTCTACAGAAACCTGCAGTAAGTGTTCAGTGATTTGCATCTTGCTGTTTCTTAAATTTGTATCTATTTCTTTCTAATCATCACAGTAAAACATGTAGTTACATCCAAAGTCTGGTTATCTCTTATTTTTATTGTACTATTAGCAGTGAGGAGACAGCTGTCAGACAATCAGCTGTAAACAAGCTCAGGGAAGATCAGTCTGTCTCAAATGTAGTTTCAAGACAGACTGAGAATGTGAGCAATGTTATCTGTGTGTCATTGACTGTATATACAGTGGACAGGCTGACACCTCCGAGAAGTGAAGCCACCATGACTTAATCACCCCCTGGGGGCTGGTTGCAGTATACTTGTACTTATACTTGTATAGCACTTTTCTATGCATTGCAGCACATGCACACAGCTATATTGGTCACTGAATTTTCTTTTTCAAAATCTCAAACATTTATTTGTAAATTTTGAGTTTGTGTAGGTAGTTCTTTGCTGAATAAAATGTGACTGTACTGGAATGTTTTTCGAGATTCAGAGGTGCTTAATGAGAATTATATTTTCAATTTGACATGTTGATTATTCATTTTGTTTATTTGTATGCAGGAAGTAATTGGGAAATCTATAAAACAAGTTGTCTTCCTGCCCCTGTACACTGTGCCAGAGAGGTATGATGTTGTGTTTCTGTAAAGTTCTATTATTTGAAGTATGACGAAATTAATGTGATTAAAGTTGAATTTTTTTGTTCATGTTAATTGTCTTTCCAGCTCTGAAAACACTCCACGACTTTTTGAACTCCCGTCTTTGTATGTAAAACGCAAACATGCTAGGTTCATACTAATCTGTAGCAGTAAGATAAGAGATTTGTCTTAATAATAATTCTGCTTTGTTAAACAGGTGGAATGACAAGAAGGGAAAAATGCACTATGTTGTGTTCTGCATGCCAGAGGTTACACCCTGCGGGCTGTACCTGTTACGAAAAGGAACAGACCCAAACAGGTACATTTCTGTACATATTTGGATGTGCTTGTTTTCTTAATCTGTTTTTAACCAGATGTGTTTTGATTGTGCAGACACATCCCCAACAGTGTCATATCGATTGACCTCAGCCACCACCTTGACAATGCAGAAGATGAAGCTGCTGCAGCCCAGTGAGCGGCTCTTATGTTATTTCCTCACCTCAATGTATTCAACAGATATAAATGCAAATGTATTGCACAGCTGGTAAAGATGTTACTGTTACCAAGATTTACTTAGATTTTTGTTTTCAGGTCTCATTATGTTTACAAATGTCTGGATGCTCGTTTCTATGACGATGAAATGCTAACTGTGGTCTTGGAAGGAGCAGAAGACAACAGGAAGCGTGTCCTGGCTCAGCTACCTCTTGCTTCCGTTCTGAGCTGTGAGACTGAATTCAAGTGGGAGCCAAATCTTAGGTGTTTGTGTGTTCATCAAACAGGGGATCCTTTGTAGAATTCTGGGGATTTTGCATGTGTTTTCTCTTTTATTATTTATTAAAATATAATATAATTAACCACACGTGAGGAATAAATAAATAATCAAAAATTACATTTGCTAATTGAAGAAATTAGAACTTAATATCAAATACTGAACAGCTCAATTATACTAACAGCTTATAGAACAAAATTTCATTAAGTAGTTTTGGTCATATAATTCAAGTACTACAATGTGAGTGGTTTGGGACATTCTATAAAGATGGTGAAAACAAGTCATAACTTTAACACAGTGCATATGTCACCTGTACTGTTAGGTTGGACCAGCAGACCAGCGCCATCCCATGCCAAGGCCTGGTGCTGGGGAATCAGTGGCGTGAACTAGAGAACATGAAGGCTCAATTTGTAGCTGTCAACGGAGTCCGCAAAGTGGCCTGTGTGGTATGTTAAATTTAGACTTCCCCATGTATATCAGTGAATTTTACGGCCATGTTCTTACAGTATAATTGTTTCAGTGATGAATACGGGCAGATGATTCATTTTCAGTGTTCTGCCAGCAGGAGTATTCCAGTGAATGAATGTAACAGAGACTGCAAATATTTGCTTTTTCTTTTCTCGTAGCTCAGTACCAACCTGAGGCACATACGTGTTTTTGAGATGGATGTAGAAGATGAGGATGATGAAGGAGTTGACTCACAGAATGCCAGTGCTGACTGTGATGGGCTGGAAACTACCATGAGCAGCCAGGGGCAGGGAGAGGAGACTGTGGAGGCTGATGGTGATGCTGGAGAGGATCGAGTGGATGGGTCGCAAAAGACTGAGGAGCAGCTGGTGTCAGAAGAAGCCTTAGAAGTCTCTTAAGACCGAGACAGAAAAACACACGCTCCATAAATAAAGGACTGATCTATGTGCTGTTTTTTTGTTACAAAATATTTTACAGCATTCTGGAAAATACATGTTTGCATATTAAAATAAATAGGCTTGTATATGTTTGCACTGATTATGTATCTTCTTAACTTCTTCTAACTTTTTTCTACTTGTAATTACATTGTAAAGTTTCATAGTGCTACTTTTTGTCACATTTTCACCATCGCATTAATACTGAGACCCCAGAAGGGGTCATGTGGACCAAGACATTTTGATGAGAATCAGTGGTATGTTGAAGCAATAATTTGAAACTCACTTCAGTAAACAGTTTGAAATGCATATCTTGGTGATAAATAACAATAGAGACTTCGCTTTAGCAGAAACGGGGTGATTTAAAAGAACCTTTGAAGTTAAAACTAATCTTATCAAGGTAATACTACGTTTCTGTACTAAGGTAACCGTAAACACTGGCAGAGTGGATATATGTGCACGTGCAAATAGGTGTGGGTTACGTCCGCGTTCCCGATACTGAACGCAGTGACGTATGTTGTCCGCCTGTTGGTCTTTCACAGTTGGTGACGAGTATTCTGAAAATGGCCTCGATCCTGCCCGTGAGCACGAAGAACTGGGGAAGATGACGGTGTTGAGCTTTTCAAGTCAGTGGAACAACAAAGTGTCGTCTTTGAACACGTAGACAATAGTAAAGTAGACAAAACCAAAGAGACTGTCGGCAAAGCAACGACTAAAAACCTCTAAGACCACAGCATATTTTCGTAGGGCTGTGAGGACCCGCTATGGAGGATATAAACTCAAATATCAACGCGGACCTGGAGGTGCGGAAGCTTCAGGACTTGGTGAAGAAACTCGAGCAGCAGAATGAACAGCTTCGGAGCAGGTCTACGATGTTGTCCACGTCCGGAGCGATGTCGGGGCACCACAGACCCCTCAGCGCTGGATACGACTCGCCTTCCTTGTCAGCGGGGATGGCAACCAGTCTGGCCGGCTTCCCTGGGGTGGGGTTCGTGGGAACAGGCGGCTACGGTGGGCTGGTGGAGAATAACCGCTGTTTGAGCCCCAGACTGTCGTACGACGGCATCAGTTTCAAAAGAGCGTATGAATGTGAGGGGGCATCGGCTGCCACCTCACTCTCCAGTAGGAACTCACTTTATTCAGACAGCTGCGGGGACTTTACAGATGAAGGGGAAACGTCAATCCTAGATGAAGTGGAAATCTTAGATCTTGAAGACATGGATTGTCTAAACGAGGACAGCTGGTGAGTGACAGCCGTGTCTCTGAGGCATCTTGCCTTTACATCCGTGTTTGTGTCGTCACAGCTGGGTGACGGCTTGAATTGCCTAGGAGCAGCTGCCCTACACATTAGCTACCACGACAACCAATCTTCTCAGTCGCTTGGCTAAAATCCGAAGTGATCTGTACTGAAGGAGCCTCATTGTGGATCACAAACTGAAGGATGGCGTTTGGCATGTGGGCCGCGCCATGACCTTACATGAAACCATAATAGACATGCTTTGTCATACAGTCAGTGCCCCGATGATCTCATAACTTGCTTTCTGCTTGTGCAGTCTGTCTGAGATTCTCAGCTGTCAGGACCCTGACCACCCCTCCCCGTTTTGTTGTTCCAGTGTGGCACATCACTTGCCTTGTCATGGCAGTGGTGGCAGGCAATCAGAGTGCCCATGAAAAATGAGAGTTGTTTTCCTGCCCAGCACTCATGTGGGAGAGGGAGTCGTGTTTATATCCCTCCTCTGAATTTCCTTTAGCACAGCAGTTGGCACACAGCTACAAGTGTTCTGCAGAAAGGCGGCGTTAAACAGGGCTGTCAGCTCATTGTGTAGGAATAAAAGCTGTGACAGTACCGTAAAACTGAGGTTTGCATTTGCATGGTTAATATAAAATCGGTGTGTGTTTATCATGTTGGTCTGTCAATCACACTTTCCATAATCCTCTTACTGGCCCACATGTCCACCCATACACCTCTTTTTTTTTAAGTATTCATGTTTTTTTTAGGTAGGTGGCTTTGCATACACTTAGGAAGCATATTCCCTGAAACTCCAGTCTAGAATGTGTCTAGATCATAGTTGGTTGAAAGCCAGTACACAACATTTGACAGCAGTAAAAGATGTTTGGCAGTCAGCACTTCATCTATTAAAATAATGAGAGCAAAACCAAATGTATGATGCGAAGAGGGTTTGCAGAGATGCTGCTAATCTGTATGCACATTAAAACCCCCTTTTCATGAAGTCTTTACTATTTATCTACCCATTGTCCCAAGGCTTTCTCTGCTGCATACAGCAGGGTGCCTGTGCTAGCTACCGAGCCTTTGACATCAGACTACTTTCAGACATTGCTCACTCTGGCCCAGTAGGGCCAGTCTCATTATACTCTGGCTGTTTGTGTGGCTTCAGAGTCAGATTGATATCTGGGGTTATAGCGCACAGCACTTGCCAGCTCCTGCTATAGACTCCTGTAATCCCTGAATTAGCATCAGACTGGGTTTAAACTGCTGCCGGCTCCTGTGGTGCTCGGCCTATCAATAGATGCTTGTCACATTCCTATTCCTGCACGTGGACATGACTCTTATTGTTTCCAAGATGGGAGTTCATGTATGAAGCAAGTGTGTCAAGTCTGCAGGTGGGAGTTTTACTGTGTACCAAATATGAATGGTGGTCACAGGGCTCCAGACTAACATTCTACTGGGGCCACTAAGTCTCTCAGATGGTGGCACCACCTCTGTTTTACAGCATAATGCAAAAGAATCTGTATTTTTCACACATTATTTCAAATAACCTTACCATCCAGTGCACATAGCCTGTTTGCTGTATATAATGAAATTCAGAGAGAGGGAGTCTTATGGAACACAATAAATGGGAAAATCGCTTCTGGGACATGTTTCCAGCTCTTTTTATGTAGTCACTGTAGTGATCTGTAGCCTAGCAGTCAACATGATCATAACGATGACACATGATGATGATGATGATGCTATAACGATGACACATGATGATGATGATGCCGATTAGGCTGTTACATTTCAACTGAAGTATAAACCGATGAATTCAAGTAAAAAGTTTCCAACACATAACCAGGCTAACAGGTGATCTACCTGATTTAAGAAGCTGTCTGTGGCACCAAAGGAAAGAGTCAATTTGAACCGTAAAATCGGGGTCCAGGAATGATGCGTGTGTCTCAACACATTTTATAGAGTCTCTGCTTAAGTTTGGTTGCAAAATGCAACTGCTCACTTGCTGTCTGGAATCCTGAGTCATTGTGATGATAAACAGTGAAAGTCCCAGATTTCAGGCTTGTATTTCTCTGTGCTGTCGCCCATTTGCCTGTAATGTTTTTGCTTTCATCATGAAAGGCTTAATGTGTGGCTGCAACAGAGCTGACAGCTGCTGACTCAGATTTCTCTTCTGAGGGGAAACCACTTTCTTCTGTTCCCTCACAACAAGCTATGAATAAACACATGTATTACTCGTTTAACTGACAAACAGGTAATAATGGCCAATTCAGTCACTATGAAGCCTCATTTTATCACTTGATGCATCTCCATGAGCACTTTCAGGGAATGCAGTTGACTAAGGACTGAACTTAGTGACTTTTTCAATGATATGGGAAAGTGAAAGTTGGTCATTCTTAAAGTTTCCTGCAGCAGCTGAAAGTTGCAATGTCCTTGCTACTAATGGAAACCCGAGATACAGAGAACGCAGTTTGTTTTTTTTTGTTTTGTTTTTTGGCAAAACCAATAAGAGAACTGCACTGAAGAGTATATTGCCAAGCCTAAAAGATATTTGTAAGATGGTTGTATTCTTAGCAGCATTAAATAATTAAAGGGTCATACAATTTCAAATATACAAGTATGAAACAGATCTAAATCAAAAAGCATTTTCAGTGTGGACAAGCAGGGTCCAATAAATGCCTTTTCCCCTGTTCACCCTGTCGTTGTTGCCTCCATAGACTAGTCCCAGCACTTGTTATCCCCTCGGCCTCATTTCCTCTTCGAGCTGTCAGGTCACGTCACATCTGAGGTGTGATGGAGTTGAGCTGTCATGTTCGGTCATTATTAGAGGAGGCGCTTCTTGTTTTCATGATGCCTGCTTTTATTTCCTCTATGTACTTGTAATACACTATGTCATTTTTGTACACTGTTCATGTTTTTCCAGGTTATATGAGACGAAACTGAACAGTCCACTGCAAAAAGCCTTGAGTCCCATTGTGTGGTGTCGCAAAGCTCTGGACAACCCCAGTCCCGAGATGGAATCAGCCAAGCGCTCCCTAATCCACAGACTGGACCTCACCATGTCAGGTAAACAACACTAGTGAACACGAATCGTGTCGTCTCAACTTGATAGGAGCAGCCGAAGCAGTAGGAACAATAACAACACCAACAACAGTGAAAAACGTACATAATCCCTGCTGTGTAACGTCGGGGGTCAATCACAGACAACACTGTCTTGCTAATGACTCTTAAGAAGAACAGGCTCTTTACTGAGACAAAGACTTTATTTTAGTTGTGTTGTTTAAAATCTCCCTGCTTCTGTGATCTCTGTATTGTTGGTTAGTCATTGTCTTACTGATAATTTTAATAACGTTATTATTTAGAACCTTTCATCTTTAGCATAAAAGCAGTTGTAGTTCACTTTGTACCCTCTCGTCTGAATGAAGTACCACTGACTACATTAAAACAATGTAGTTCTTTATTCCTGGTTAGCACAAAGTGCTAGAAGTGTAACATACACGAAACAGCGGTGATTTTCCACAGCTGTACAAAGCTGTCTTAGTTAATGCTTCATCAGAATTTTAACTCAAATGGTATTATTAATGAAGTATCAATTATAAATGATTTCTCTATATAAAGCAAATGTAGAGTTACTGGCCCAGCGAGGTAGAGCTTTGGATATGCAGAGACAGCGCTTCTTGCTGGCTTCATAAGAGAAGCCCATAAATGTTGTGATGTATTTCTTATTCTTATTACTAAGAGCTTTAAATTAAGGGAGTGAGTCTGAGTATGAATATTTATTGTTTTGTGCCACATAATTGCACTTGCTTAGGACATGTACAGTATTAGCTTATTTATATTTACATGTGTCAGTTTCTCCACTGTAAATATGATAGTACCAGCAGTCTTAACTGGGTTCCTGGTATAAACATATACAGTATAGCACCAGATTGGATGGAAACTAACATTATACATATCTTTTACACTCTACGTTGACCATTCAGATTTGTTCAAAACTGTATACAGTATAATGCATAAACAAAACATGTGCCATGTCTGTTTTCTGCCACTAATAATAGTTAGTTTGTCAGTGGGGAGGATGGGCCTTGGATCCTCCAGGCTAATCTGAGAGGGGTCATTTCCATTTTGACAGCGGTATGTCCATGTGACAGTTAGGTCGAGTTGAGCAACAGGCCAGTGGGAGACGGGGGTGATGTGATCTACTCTGTTCTGTTGTGCAAGAGTCATCACAGCACCCAGACACATGGACACCTCTTCGTCCCAGGATGCTGAGGCTTGTTAATAGTGGCTGCTAAAGTAAAAATGACTGCGGTCCTTTTGTAGATCCAACTTGCACAGCTTCTTTACTTCAGACAGTGCACAA